AGTTTAGAATTAATTTTGCCTGTATTCACAATAACATGATATGCAATTCAAGGAGTTATTATAATGAACTAAACATAAGTAAATACGAACTAACAAAAGTATACAACAGGCCACTGTTTCAATACATGTGTATTAGGTATATGGTGTGACCTATATTTTGAAGCCAGCTGACACACAATGGGTGATGTAGTCAATTCCACGCTGGCCACAATTATTTCCTATAATGTTTTACGGCGCATTTTCTTTTTCCTAAATGCAGAATCACCATCGAAACCTAACCCAGTGAAAAAAAGTCATCATCACCATCATCAGGTGCATTGCCGACTGGCGTGTGCGATCATGCCTCTCCATAATCTGCGATCTCCTGCAGCATGTATCAGTTTGTGTGCCGACACCCCTCCATGCCATGCAACAAGACTGTCAAGAATCTTCTCTCGTTGTCTTCCTCTATCCCTCCTTCCACAAATCTTTCTAGTGGTCACAACATGTTCTATTTTCCCTCTTCTCATAACATGGCCGAAAAATGATGACTGTCTCCTTCTGATGCCTGTGATAAGTTGTCTATGGGCTCCCGCCTCTTTCAAAAGCTCTTGGTTGTTCTTTTTGGTTGTCCAAGGTATTTTAAGCATTCTTTTGTAACACCGCATCTCTGAGACCTCAAGAAATTGTTTGGCCTGCCTACTGATTGTCCAGGATTCACAGCCCTATGTTAAAACTGGATGTATGTGAAAATACCACTTTGAAAAAGGAAACAAACTTATGACCACCAGGCAAGTGTGCTAGCCACTGCACTACCAATGACCGCCACCCCAAATTCAAACATGCTGCCTCGAATTATTTCCCACAAATTGACAGTGTGTGAGAAACAGATTATCAGATGTGGTCCCCCTCTATGTTCTGAATGAGGAACCAAGTTTCTTTTAGCTGGGCTGTGATAGGAGTGAGGTTCTGCAAAGAACATGAGCTGGTGACATTTTCTGACACTCTAGACAAGGCAAGTGGAAGGTCAAAGATAGAAGATGCATGGTAGGCTTCATTGAGGTCATAATTTTAAAGTGCCCTTTCTCAAGTTGTGTTACTATACCATTAAAACTGGACGAATTTCAGTTGCCGTCAATTTGGCAGCAGGTGGCTTTTCATAGATTTCAAAAATCGCATTGAGAGCTGACTGATCAGAAAGCAATGGCAACTTACAGAACATCAAAACTGCCTAGTAAAACCACAAACAGTCAACAATTGTTAGTTTTTGTGTTTGTTTGTTGTTGTTGCAATGTGGATACACAACCATCTGTTTAACTCACTACACTCAGAGGAAAGGCACCGGTGTTTTACAACCAGTGAACACTATGAAGAAGAAGTGTCATATTTCACAAATACAAAACAATGGCTGTGCTGGAGTAGAAATAAAAAAAGGAATGAAAAACTGGAACATACTAAACAAGAAAAGAGCAATAAATAATTAAAAAATGACCATAATGTAAAAATACTGCCTTTCATTATTTTTCATGCACTGATTTTAAAAATATATTCAATTTGCTATTTTTACAACACTGAAAAAAAAAAACTTACATAAAAAGAAAATATTTCGAATGTGACTATCAAGGAATGCTGTATTCAGAATGCTTTGGTAACAATGTTGAGGATTTAAGAAAAACACGGATTATTTCATAAATTTAGAATCAATTAATAATATTCAGTGATGATATTGTACAGCTGATCAATATATGTACTCACATACCTGATGATGAGAGACAAATGAAAGATTGTTCAACTGTAAAAGTAAAGTATCAAGTTGTTTGCAAATTGTACACACGATAGACCAATTGACACTCAATGAGATCAACACCATGCTGGATGCTGTTACTTCCCAGGACTTTACATTGTACCCATTTTTTATTAATTTTTTTTTAATTCCCAGAGGTCTTTGAGAAACCACCAAAGATATTACACATTTTTGGTTACCTCTGCCACTTATGAGCATTAATCTGCTGTTTTTTTAACCATCCACAACAGAAAATTAATACTAGTACTCGAGGATCACAAAATAACTTGGGTCCTTCAATCAAAGAAATATTTGTGATAAACTTTGTCTAGTGGTGTGATAAGTTTAAAAACAGCAGATAGTCATTGCTATGAATAAAGTGTCAATACCTGGTCTAAGTCTTTTCTTCAAACACTCTGATCTCCTCTTGTCTATAATCTCTCTAATTTATGTCTGTAATTAACACCATTTTTAAGCCCACATACATATCTTCTGCTGGCACTCCTTCGTACACAGCTTGAACACATAGGATATGGTTTTATCCTTAAAGTGTGAAATCTTTCAACAGTAAATGCAATTTTTCAGGTACTCACTTTGTGAGGAAGTGTATTCCCTCAGTTCGAAACAACAGTAAATTTGGTGCAATTTTTAACCAGGTACTCACAAAGAAATTATGTTGAGGATAGTGTATTCCCTCTAGCGTTCGAAATCTTTCAACAGTAAATTTTGGTGTTATAGGTAGTGTATTCCCTCTAGCCGTTCGAAAATCATATTTCAACCATTAGGATTCTAAATTAGGGTGCTTATTCTATGCTGTCTCCACAATGAAGGTTGTCTGTAGTTTACCCCATTGTCTTTTGGGAATATTATGCGGTGAGGCCCTAATCTCCTCCATGGTGCGACTCTTGTACCATTGCCCATAAACCATGAGAATATTGGTTTTTTTTTTTAACCATCCACAACAGAAAAGAAATTACATTGAGAATTCGAGGGATCACAAAATAGACAAAAAACAACTAGAATGTAAAAGGTGTGTCAAATATAATTTCCAGTTATAATTCTTTGTCTAAGTGATCTGTGTGATAAGCTCTTAAAAATAATGATGAACATATCATCAAAACAAATGATATTGCTATGAGACATGAAAAAACAATAAAATGAATACTATGTCTCTGTCTATTTCTTCAAACACTCTCCACATCTCCTCTCTGTCTATATATCTCTCCTAAATTATGTATGTACATAACACCATTTTTAAGCCCACATCCATATAAAAAACATGCTGGCACTCATCAGAATACACAGATTAAGAGAACACAGAGGATATGGTTTTCTCCCAAGTGTTCAAAATCTTTCAACAGTAACATTTGGGAAGAACATTTCAACAAAAGTTTTTACAAACAAACAAAACAACTATAATACTCACCAAAAAAATAAACTTTGAAAATTTCTTTTATGGTTGAGGATAGCCTGCATTAACCCTCTAGCGTTTGAAATCTTTCAACAGTAAATTTGGTGCAATTTTCAACCAGGTACTCACAAAGAAATTACATTGAGCATTTAGGGCACATTAATAACAGACAAAAAACAACTACCAAAAAGAATGTAAAAGGTGTGTGAAAAATAATTTACTTTGAAACTCCTTTTTTTTTAAAGATCACAGAATTCTGGATAAGCTCTGTAAAATATATGACTGTGAACATTTAATGATAGAAACACAAAAGAAATAACAGCAGAGACATGAAAAAAAATAAACCTAGAAGCAACCATACAACAGAAATGAGTATATTTGACTTTTCTAAACATCTCAATACATGGCAATGCTGGCTAGGTAACAATTGTAAAAATCTGGTTAACATACTATTGTAAAATCTCAAATATAGACTAGTGCTAAGGCGGCGATAGACTACAAAATTATTATTACAGACAGTAATCATTATTTATATTTACATAGCGCAATTCAGCGGTTGCATGTGTAAGGATCACGTTCGCATTAATCGGAGGGCGTGTATATGACTAACATAACTATTTGATTAATTATTTCATTAATTGTAAATTTTTCTGAGTCCAACAAACTTGAGTATTATTATGCTCTTTCTTTTTAAAGTTGCTGACATGCCATCCTCAAGTGACTGAAGAATGATTAAAGTGGCAGCCGTGGTAGGTTAAACAGAAATTTTGGGATACATACTGGGAAGTTTCAGTTCCTCCCATTAATTCCCCCATAACATAAGCTTTAGTCAAGTTTGTGGGGGCACCAAACCACTCGGAACAACCTATAACTACTTCATGTAAAGAATCACACACAAAATAGAAAAGTATTTGCAAACTTTTTTTTTAATTGGTTGCTTAGCACAGGGATGACAACTATTTGCAGTTACGTAGCAGCGAAATATCATTCAGAGATAACATCATGAATGATAAAGTTCACTGTATCATCACTCAAAACACTGGTCACTGTGAACCTTTTTTTTAACAAAGAGTGATAAGGATAAGAGATAAAATACAATTATATTAACAAGTAACATGATCTGCCAGCCTCTCCAACATAATACTACAGGGTTCAGTTGAGGAAAAGAAGAGAAGAGGCAGACCATGAAAGACCTAGAAACAGAATGTGTATGTCTCGACAAGCTTCAAACATGCAAACATCAAGTCCATTGCATCTAGCCAACAGAGGTGGAGATAACTGATGAGACAGTCAACAGCAACTGGTGACCCAATAACACATGGTGTTATGGGACTATGATAATTTTCTTCTTCTTCTTCATGTTCACCGGCTATAAACTCCAGTGAAAGTTCTGGATATGCATCCACTTTAGTCTTGTTTCAGAACCTGAGTATTGCATGCACACTGTTTCACATGCCTGGGTTATTTGTAAGCAGACTTTTGGTTCTTTGCCTCTAAGGCAGATGTGCTCCGACTTCGAAGGATATACCAAATTTTATCGACTTCTACGACATGCTTGGGGAGGCAGTTAGTCTATTCTTGTTTTCTCCAAAAATAGGGCCCCGGAACCCACAAAGGGGGAGATGATAATTAAGATGATGGTGATGATGATATTTTTATTGTACTGTTCAATGTAAAGGAATGTTGGTCACAACGTTAACTTGTGTGTGTGTTTTTCCCTTTGCCTGGCTTCCCAACAGCTATTTTATTTGCATTCAGTAATTCTTCATACTAGCTCCACAGCAGTCTGATACCATTCTCATGCACATCTTGCTGCAAATCTGTTGTCTATTTTGTATCCCCTTCACGTCTCAGGAGCAGTGGGCCAACGTTATCTCTTGTTTCTGCATTGTGTTTGTTGTGGCTGCCATCACAGAGAGGAAACTGTGGACAAGCAGAGAAAATAAGTTCACAGTTTCGATTAAATGCGTGCTTGCGTGTGTGCATTCACATGCCTGCACACATCTTATTTTCTTGTTCTCTTTATCCGCCATTTATAGCTAAGACCCTCCAGCAACTCAAGCAATGCAGGTCTACTTTTTAATATCTCCTGTACTTAACTTCATGAAGTTCTTATATTTGTGCGTGCACAAATCAATGAAAATATGTTATGTTACATATGGTTGCAGATTACCCATAAATAATTTAAAAATCAACATCAAGGCATCCAGGGCATACCCACAGATGCTCATGGAGTTATGGCCCATGTTGCCCGCTGCTTTTTTTCCTGGCCAGTATTTATTTGTGGTGGCCACACACATCTCCAGTCATTCTACTAGTCAGTCAGAAATGTGACTTCTATCAGAGATACATCAGTTAAGTGATGTTTGTGTATTCCTGTTGACTGCAGATTTATTTATGTGCTGATAAAGGCTCTCTAGCCACAATGTTCACCTGTTGTCTGTGATGCTTACTTGCTCTATATTTCATCTCGTTTGATATTTTTCCATAGATGCTCCGTCTCCTGAAGCAGATGTCTTAAGATGTAGATACTGACTGTTCTATAAGAATCCTGGTCGTAAATATGTTCTTCCTCTCATGTGTCATTTCTTGCTAGATCCACACTTATAGTGCATTTCAAAACGCCTGAACAAATGTCTCAAAAACTCCTGAATGGATCAACGTGAATTTTTGTATGTGGTCTCAAATTACATATGTCCTTATGATTTACTATTGCATAGATGCTGCTGTTTTCTTAAATCAGCTAACTTCTTGGATCTCTGTTGGACTATTAATATGTGCACCACTATAAAATAGAATATACAGTAACTGACACATGCGTGGAGATGTCTAGAAATCAACTTACATGTGCAGTGATGCGTAGTGAATATTTGTGTGGCCTATCTGGCATGCAATGACTAATCTGCAACTAACAAGAGACTAATGCTGGAAATGACTACCTGAGAGTGAAATGCCTATGACACACGTACAACCTGATATTTTGAAAAGTTCCTGTTGCTCAGTTAAATGTAAGCAAGCTGATTGTTTGCTTTGAATCTGTGTCTGTGTTTCCATATACCGTACATCAGGCAAAAAACAAAACAAAAACTAGATGCTTGCTTGCATTAATAAAAAAGAATGTTCTTTTAAGGGCATGAATATTAACAGGTAAGTAGAGGTAAAGGTCCCTTTTCTCCGCCTTTAGGCGTATAGGGCATATTAGGGCATATAAGGCTAGACCTATATTTTTACAGACCAACTGGCACAAGATGGGTGATGTGGTCAGCATCACACCAGCCGCCTCTACTTCCTGGGACTGCACCCGGTACCCACTCAAGGCTGGGTCGCCCTAGGAGTCAAGGTAACTTTTGAAAAAAGTCAGGCACCGCCAGGGAACTATTAACAGGTTGCATGCCAAATTTCAACAAATTAATTGAACATTTACTAAGTAACAGATTTTTAAAGTTGAGTAGGACTTCTGAAACGGACTATAGTTGCCAATTTAGGCATGGTTCCTGGAAGAAGAGGCAGGAAATGACCAGCATGAAGACAACCACAGATGGTCTATATTCTTCAGAATGATCAGCACGTTATGAGTGACATGATCAATTATCTTGCTGGTAGCCTTTACTATTCTAAAAAAAATCTCTGGGTGTCCATTCTAGGTTGGTTCAATCCAGATCAGTAAAAAAACAAAATTCTGCATCAAAGGGGACTTGAACACATTGGTTCCCCATGCAGGTGCCAGGGCTCCATCTTCGGAGAAAGAACACAAGATTTACTGCCCTTCCCACTTCCTCAAACAAGCTCACTGTAAAAGATGACCAATCAGGTGTTTGCTGAAAGGATAAATATCACCGCCTAACTGTAAACTACACAAAAATGTGCAGTCTCAAACACAAAAGCTTGGTTCTAGGTATTAATTTTCTCCTACTGCAGTGGCTCTCAACCTTCCTAATGCAGCGACCCTTTAAATACAGTTCCCTCATGTTGTGGTGACCCCCAAGCAATTATTTTTCTTCCTAACTTTAATGAATATGTGTCTTCCAATGATCTTAGGTGACCCCTGTGAAAGGGTCGTGCAACCCAAAAAAGGGTTGTGACCCACAGGTTGAGAACCGCTGTCCTACTGTATTTTATCTCCTGATGGTGAATATGTCCTCAACCACATTAAGTCCTTTGTGGTTGTGTTCACGATTGGTTGGATTTTGTGACTATTTTATTTTTAATGGTATCAGGTAGACAGTCTCCAATTAATCTGTTTTATTTGCTTCTACAGTATGTTACAGCAATGTTCTTCAACTGGTGATCTGCAGACCAGTGCCAGTCATGGAAAATTTCAAGGCGGTCGGCCTAAATTTTCCACCTAATTACGTAGTGGCTTTACTATTAAGTTATAACACTGCTGCTGAACTTTTAAATGGAGGTGGCATATTTTTTTTTTAATCTACATTTGTTTTTGTTTCTGCCTCCACCATCAGCCAGTGTGGGAAAATATTTCTCTTTTTTTGCTGTCCACATGTGTAAAAAAGGTTGAAGAACACTGGCTGAAAGTATTACTATTCTTTGCACCTTTATAGGCTCTTCAGTAAAACACAGGCATCACAGCCTTATGATGTAAAAAATAATTAAAAACAAACATAACCTTCTTGGATCTCCAGCAGCGGCAGAAAGCTATGTTGTCTCCAATATCTTCAATATCCATCTGTGTGACCACCTTGGACTCTTCCTTCTGAATGTCTTCATTAATCTATAAAGCAGCAACAAGAGAATCTAATTATACATCCTCCTGTAATCTGAAATGAACTAATATGCACTACTTCCCATTTTAAGGCAAAGAATACTGGGATAAAATGGGGGGAATAAAGAACTGCAAAAGAGGTACTGAAATAAGAAATAAAAAGACTGAGGAAACAAGAACACTCAAGAGAAACTCCTAAACAAACATTGATAAGAGAAACCAAAAGTGTTGTACTCAATTATATCCATGATATTAAAATGATAGAGCAGAATAGAACAGAGTGGAAGAATTAACTGCAAGCCCTCTATAGAGTATAACTGGCACAACAGGGTGGTAATTATGATGATGATGTCAGGGATATGAAACTATGTTCACAACCCCTAATCCACAGAGAACGATATAATTAAACCAACCTGACAAGAATGATCATATCCCAACTAACTAACTAGATGACACATGTAAGTAACATACATTTTCTCACTATGCAACCCAATGCCTCAATAACCTTATTTAATTAAGATTATTTATATGACTTCTTTTTTTGTTCTCCCTGCCAGTGGCTTTAAGAAAAGAAGGCCATATACCTCTAAGTAGTCTGTAGTACGATGCATGTACTCCACTGATTCATACAGCTTGGTTTCCACCTGAATGCCAACCAGCCAGACCTGGGATTTCTCTACTGTCTGTAGAGAGTATGTGGCATGTGCTTGGGGCACCTGTCCAGGTTCTGAGTCTACAAACTTGAATTTTTCCTGTACATGTGGCTGCAGAGTCTGTTGTGTCCAGTTTGTAGTCTAATTATTATGGCAATATCTAGTATTCTTAAATTTGTGAGATCACAACATGTCAAGCAATATCACAGCATATATAAAACCCAATTTTAAAATTATATCAACATCAATAGGTACATGTAATGACACTCTATGGCCAGCTTATCCTGATGTGCGGATTTCTACATGAAGCTTTTGTTCATATAAAGGAATGTTCTTTAAAGGACATGCAGGGTTAAATAATCTGATAATTTCTTCTTCCTTTTCTTAGCATTCAGCAGCTCTAAACTCCAGGCAAGAAGTTTTGGTTGGTCGTCCACTTCTGGACTTTGGTCTTGTTCTGGGACTTTAATTGTACATGTACATCCTTTTTTACAGTTGTAGCTTATTTGCATGCAGACTCGCCTCTCAAGCAGATGCACTTCAACTTTAAAGGAAACACATTCAATTAGTCGCCTTTTACTGTATGCTTGTTAGAGGGCAGTGGGTCTTCCCTCCCCCCACCCCTCCCCAATGCAGTGCCGAAACACCTCCTCCCCCTCCCCCAAAGGGAAGTAAAGAAATTAAATAATGATAATACAGACAACGCATCTGCGCAATTTATTACCTGGCATACGTCACTGATGATGACGGAACAGTTAAAAAAACATTTACTTTTACTTTTTTTGAGACAGAACTTAAAATATAGGTAGAAACATGTTTTGAAAGACAAAATATTGTAAGCAGAATGTTACCTTTGGTTTCTTAACCTTTCTGCGTCCAAAAAGCAAAGTTTTGAACACTGAGTAGAGGATAAGCAATACTAAGAAGAAGAAAGGTGTCAGGTTTAGGTAATCTTCTCCTGTTGATGTTGAAAAAGAAAACAAAAATTATAACCTTTTTTTTCAACAAAAGCAACAAAACTATAAATAATACTCTAGGTAAATGATATTAGGCTGGTCTGGAATTTAGAACAAAGGTATTTTTTTCTATTCAGAAGAAAAATATTCGTTATAAGATACTTTATGAATTTATTTAATAAAATGCAACGGTTGTTCCCTTCTTCTTAGTCTTTTGAACTTTATCTACTCAAAGCAGCATAAGCCCTTAACCAGCTCCCACCCAGTCATCCTATCTGCTCCCACCCAGCCATCCTATCTGCTCCCACCCAGCCATCCTATCTGCTCCCACCCAGCCATCCTATCTGCTCCCACCCAGCCATCCTATCTGCTCCCACCCAGCCATCCTATCTCACATCATGCCCGCCTTTGCTTAACTCTTGTAGTTACTTCTAAGTTTTTCCCTTATTAATTATCATAATTAAATGCACACAAGACACACATCTAGGCATCAAATGGGTCGACAAAGTTCTCGAAGATCTTGACTTTGCTGACGACCTAGCACTCCTGAGCACAACACATCTAGAAGCTCAGGAAAAAATGGACCGCCTCCAGAATATTTCAAGCCAAATCGGCCTTCAGGTCAACGCAGCCAAAACGAAAATCATCGATCTTACCAACGAGTCGAAAGACATCAAACTAAAGGATATTGTTCTTGAAAAAATCACCAGCTTCACATACTTAGGGAGCAAGATAACCTCTGCGGGAGATACAACATCAGAAATAACGACTCGAATCGCGTTAGCATCAAGTGCCTTTAACAAACTGTCAAACATTTGGAAGTCAAGATCACTCAGCAACAACACGAAACTTAAGGTCTTCAATTCCTGTGTGATCCCAGTGCTAACTTATGGTTGTGAGAGTTGGAAATCATCAGTATCAATCGATAAGAAACTAGTCGCTTTCGAGAATAGATGCCTCCGAAAGCTATTGAATGTTCACTGGTCGGACTTTAGGTCCAATACATCTATAAGACAGGAAACAAAACAAAAATATGTGTCTGATTTTATTAGAAAAGCGTCGCTGGAATTACATCGGTCACGTACTCAGAATGGACATACAGAGACTTCCCCACCAAGCCTTCATATGGTCACCAGAGGGTAAAAGAAAACAGGGAAGACCAAAAGAAACTCTCCGTAGAACCATCACAAGGGAGAGCTCAACCATAGGTCTCAGTCGCACTCAAGACCTACATCAAGTGGCAAAGAACCGACAGACGTGGAAAGCTATGACCTCTGCCCTATGCGCCATCTTTGGCTCAAGAGGAATAACTAACTAACTAACTAATTATCATTATAATTTTTCTCATCCCCGTTGTGAATTAGGTCTCCAACTACCTTTTCTTTTCTTAGTGCATTTCAGGGGGTGCACTTTCTAGTTATGATATTAACAGGTTATCTCAACGTGTGTCATATCCAGCAAATGTATCTTTTAACTGGAATTGTTTACATTTGTTTACATCCATCTCACAAGTCTTCAATCATATCATTTTAGTCACTTTTCTCCTCATGCTTTCATTCCCTTGAATTCATTAATTAACGATTCAGCCATCTTTAAATTTGAGAATGTGTTGTTCTAATAAAAATTATTATTATTAGTGTTTAATGTCTACTTATCTTATTTGAAATATATTTCGCATGTTTTAATATGGCTAGTGATACTTCATTGTGAACGCATCACTTCCTTGTTTCTATACCATACCTGCCTGAGGTAACTGATAATGTAAACATGATAATGAAAATAAAAAAGCGTTCACGGGTCGCTAGCACTGTTTTATAAACTACATTATATAAGGTTCCCATTATTAAATTAATCTATGTGACTCATAATGCTCATATTCAATGGTGGCCATTGCATTTTTGCTTTATTTGTAGACTGGAAGGATATAGTTTCGTTGCCCAGCTTCTGAGTTGAGTGCATGGCGTGACACTGTGAGTTGCGGATTTCATTTGGATTGTTTTTTTACTGTGACCAACGTGGTGGTGTGAAATGTAGATTCAGAAAATGGTGTGATGCCGGTTGTCGCAATGCTGGTGGTGCCATTATGGGATAAAAATTGATCGCGTGTGCAACTGCTGATCTGTTGGCGACTTCTGCTAGTCATTAGTGCTACCATCCATGATGAACTGCATTTCTAATGTTGGACTGTTTGTGTTAGCACTTCGGATGGCTACTGTATGTTTTTAATGCGTGTGTATGATAGTGCATATACTGAGACAGCAGTCAGTCAATCTTTTCACAAGGGACTGTGATAAACATTCTGTTTGTTTTTCGTTGGCACAGGAGCGGAGCAACTATGGGGTGACCTGTTTGCTATGAAGCTGAAACTAAGATTACCAGATACTCATATATATGGGTCCTGTTCAATTAAATTTGGGCTATCCTCCGATTAACAGTCCTAAATTATTTATGTGGAAAAATATACCCTAACAGGGCCTCAGTCATGTGTCAATTGCGCACTTCTGGGGACTATAAAGCCACCGCCGAATTGTGAACTTGCGGCGACCTCTGCCACTGCAAGCGTATTCCCCACGCCGCTCACGCGGCATGGATTGGGGCTAAACTAGACGGCTAAGACTCACGAGCAAAAAAAAAATGAAGGAAGCTGCAGGAGATGCCATAACTGCTGCTAGTGAGCCGGAAGTGCGCAGTTTAAGACGACGGAAGTGCGCAATTGACACGTGACTGAGGCCCTGTTAGGGTATATTTTCCGCCTCGCCTCGATAATTTAGGACCGTTAATCAGAGGATAGCCTAAATTTGAATAAAATCGATATAAATCATAAATGTGAAATAAATTAAGTGAACTGATAACAAGAATGTAACTTGCACACGCCACTTCAACATTTCTTGATCAAATAAATAAACTTGGAACTATGCACAGAGTCAGAGGAAACTTTGGTAAAGTTAAAGTAGAGTAGAGAGGCTGCAGACAGAACCAGGCTTTTTTGTTTGTCAGTCGACCAGCGCCAATATCAATACTTAAACTGAAGAGAGCACACTTAATGCCCTACCTGTCAGATCTTTAAAGCCACTAAGTGTCTTTGGGATTGGAAGACTTCTCAAATACTTGGGAAGAAACAACTTAAAGAACGTGTAAATTGACTCCATTGCTCTGAATCTGAGCCAGCTCTTGATCACTAGGCCTTCCTGATTCCTTGCCTGCCTGCGCTTCAATGCACACCAATGCACACAGGGCTGCCAATAGGATTTTTATCAAATCCCAAGCTAAGCTGGCCAAAACCCAGCAATACAGAAACAAAGAACTGTAAACAAAAACAAAAACCCAAGGTTAATAAAAAGTATAAATATTATAGTTACGAAACAAAACTTTTACCCACTTTTGTCTAAGGGTATATTTGGTAAAAACCCAAGACTCCAAAATCTGAACCCAATGCGTCAAATAAAAGCCCAGATCTGGGGGTAAAAATTCATCATTGGCAGCCCTGCACAACAGGTCGGTGTGGGTAGTGTCCCCTGGCAGGTAAATTGCTCTATGTCAGCACTAGTCACGTTTTCATACACGAGAGGTCAGGAGTCGGGGAGGGAGGGAGGTAACACCGATAGAGAACTGAGAGAGGGGAGTATCGACTAATTAGGTAATTATTTACGGTTCATGGCAGCTTTTGTCTAAGTAGATGCGGCAGCACTTTATACACCTAACGGAGAAAGGTGCTGCGAGAATGACCAGGAGATTTGGCTTCCAGGTTCAACACAACGGAGGGGCGAATTGGATATACAATCTTACTGGAGACGGTCATGTACAATCAGACTGTTACCGATACTGTACCATCAGAATTAGAACTATGCGCTTGCTGCTAAAGGTGGGGACAGGGCGCTCATGGGGTTGTTCCGAGTGGCTTCGATTCTTAGTTCAACATTCAACATACGCCTGAAACAGTCTCATCCTGGATGTCAGTCTAACAGTATGCATCTCTCAGATACCCTGTTCAATCTTCTAAGAAAATATTCTTAAGGTATCCATAACGGCTGCATCAAGTACTACTTTCGTGTACCAGGGTGCCAAATGTTGGTTGGACGGATTTTAACAATTTTCTAATATTATCTGCAGCGGCGGCAGTAGTAGTAGTATTAGTAGTACAGTAGTAGTAGTAGTAGTAGTAGTAGTAGTAGTAGTAGTAGTAGTAGTAGTAGTAGTAGTAGGAGGAGGAATAGTAGTAGAAGGAGGATTAGTAGAAGCTGTTGTTGTTGTTTTTTTTGCTGTTGTTGTAACAGCGGCAGTATCAACAGCAGTGTTTAAATATATTGTTCAACCTTCTGGGCTGTAATTAGGATGTGTAGATGGTTTATCTTTCATGATTATAATTACGGATAGTTGTTTTGCATTTCACATTGCATATATTTTAAAACTGTTTTATTTATACTACTATCATTTGATTAATTATCATCTCCATAGTAATAATATGATAAATATCATGCACGCAGAACTGAAAACACATCAGATCCGATTGTTGCTGGGTACCATTCTACTAATACCACTACTACAACTGCTTCTTCTTCTTTTTCTTCTTCTATCTTTTTCTTTTTCTTCTTCTTCATCTTCTTCTTCTCCTCCTCCTTCTTCTTCTCCTCTCCCTCTCTCATCAACTCCTCATTTTCTCTTCCTCCTCGCATTCTCAGTATTTGATGGATACGTCGTCAGATGAGTTTCGTGATAAAATTAACAGAACTCTGCTCCATGCAGTTTGTGGTTTTCTTTACGTAATTCAGTATGAGAACCGGCTGGTCGAACTGATAAGTACGCTTGCTTTATATTCTGGAAACCCAGGTTCGAATCCCAAGTACAACAAATAATATCATAACCTGCGCAGTGTGTGACTAACACACTAGCCATTCTGCCCATATCCCACTCACTTCGTAACAGGGTTTCTGGAATCAGCACAGGTTTCTTCTTCTCGTCCACCGGCTGTAAACTCTAGCGGGAGGTTTTGGTTGTTCGACCACCTCTAGGCTCGAGCTTTGTTCCAGAACCTGAATATTGGGTGCTGATCCGTTTTACAGATCCGGCTTATTTGTATGCAGACTGGTGGTCCCTTGCCTTTTAGGCAGATGCACTCTGATTTTGAATTAGTCGACTCTTACGACATGCTTGGGGAGGCAGTGGGTCAATTCTTGGTTTCCCCACAACAGGGCCCCGGGCCGAAACGGGATATCATCATCATCAATCAGCTAGTCCTTTAGAGAACGTCACTCTCTTCACGGCACGCCTGAAAGTATCCCTTTCCCTAGCCAGCTCTTCAGCCTCATGTGCTTTCAATGTCAATGCGTCTTCAATGTCCTGTATCCATTTTTGCGGTGGTCGACCCCTACCTCGCCTTCCACAAACTGTACCTTCCATTACCGTCTTTTCCAAGCCAACGTGACGCTTGATGTGGCCAAAATGCTTTATCTTTCGGGACAGGATATTGTTTATTAGCCAGTTCTCCTTGATGTTTTAACCCGTTAAGAATGTCGATGTTTTCCGTCTTCTTGATCCGTGGTTTTCTAAGAGTTTTTCTATAACATTTCAATTCAAAAGCTCAAATCTTTTTCTTCAGTGACTGAGTGAGAGTCCAGGACTCATAACCGTAAGTTGCTACAGAAATATGCATGATCTCAAGAATTTGTATTAAACTAATTTACTAGTGCTTTGCCGTAGATTCTTCACGGGGTGTACCTGTTTAATTCTCGTCCTTGAGAAGCTAATCCTTTGGACTGAAGTCCTAAAGAAGAACACTTTAAAAAAAATGTTTTTTAATCATCAGATTCAAAACAACCCTGCGCTATACCGTCATATAAAGCGATAAATACAGGCAGACGATATGTTTCATTCCCCAACTAATTCAGTGGATCGGTACATCGAACTTTTTGTTCGTTGTTCCGAGGACAGGGTGGCCAAAATATCTTGACCTGAAAACGGGACATCTCTCTCTCTCTCTCTCTCTCTCTCTCTCTCTCTCTCTCTCTCTCTCTCTCTCTCTCTCTCTCTCTCTCTCTCATGTTTCTGCTTTCATTTCCTGACACTCCACAATGAATGCAAACCCCCTGCAATGTCGTAAGCTTTCTGACAGTAATCTCATTCGGTTTTTTTTCTTCAGTTTATTTTGTACTGTATATTCAGATTCTTGCCACAAGTTACGTAATTAAATCGATAGAAACCCAGCGAACAACACTCTCGAACCAGAAACTCCTACAATATGGCGCCGACACACACGCAAAAAAAAAAAACTTAGGGTCAGCACCTTTATAAATTGAGGATGGAATGATGATGATAGCTAATTAAAAATTATCCACTTTCGTCCTTTTTAGGACGACATTTTTTGTTATTTGAATCCCCACCCTGGTTTTTGCCAGGGGCCGCAATATAGGCAGGCCATTATTAATATGGCCAAATGTCTGAACGCGGTTTCTGGGACCTCTCCACGGTGATCCTCATCCGCATGGTGGCACTTTGTGTCATCTGGTGTTTATCGCTTGTGTGATGTCCTGGTGGGGTAGAAATTCATTCATTCATTCATTCATGATGATAGCAATAATAATAATAATAATAACAATAATAATAATAATAATAATCAAAATGTCTCTTACATTATGAATGTGGGAGGGGAGGTATAGAGCAGCCCAGACCTATTATTTGTGTAAAATATAATGTCTTTTTCTTCTTCTTAGCGTTCACCGGCTGGAAATTCCAGCGAAAATGTTTAGTTTTTCGTCCTTTTCTGAACTTTGGACTTGTTCCAGTACTTGACTCTTGCGTGCACATCTGTGTTTGCAGATCTGGGTTATTTGTTGCTTCTTCGCCTCTCAGACAGACGCACTCCGACAGGAAGGAAACAAAGGAAACATCCCTAATTAATCATCTTTTATGACAAGCTCCTAAGAGGGCAGCGGAACCCTTGCGGTATTCTCATTTTAACGTCCCAAGGAATGCATCACACCTTCATAGGTTCCTACCTAGAAGCCCAGTGAACACTAGATGCGCCGATTTTACGATTCTCTTGACTACTCTTGGGCTACTGATGCTAAACCCCCTGGGACTCAAAGAGTTAATGTGTGTGTTTTTTTTTTTTTTTTAAAGATGTCTGTAATTGTAATATGTTGTTTTACACTGAAAAGCACTGTAAGGGAAGCGAAGAGAAGGGTTTGTTTTAGAGATCCCTCCCTCTTATGACGCTGCAAGGAATGTCAGTAAAAGAAAAACGAAAACGTTGAGGACATTTGTTTACATTTCCCGTTTTCCTTGTCAAATCCCCTCTGCTTTTGTCGTTTACGTAATTTATCATCATCATCAGTTATCTTTATGCCTAGTGTCACATGAGGCTTCAGAGGGCTAAGAGGAAGAAGAAGGTGGAAACAGACGAGGAGATGGAGGAGGAGCAGAAGAAGAAGAAGAAGGAGAATACCCCTCCCAGCTAACCGGCTCTCTATTTTTCACGATTTGGGAGGGAGGACTTCTGGTGCAAACGCCGTTAGGTTCTTCTACTCCTCTCGGCGATACTTAAGAATTCAGTCTTTACGTTGATTTTCAGAAACATATTTTTTTCCCTCCTTTTTAAGATGACTCATGCGACTTATGAGCTACGACTCTAGCAGTTCAGGACAGTTTTTCGATTCTATTTCTTCGAAAAACGATATTCTTCAAATTAATTAAACAAAAGGAAAACATCAGTTATCGAACGTTATAATGAATAGAATTTGAGTTATTTATAGTTGTAAACATCATAATAAATATTTGAATTACATCTGCAACAGTGTGTTATTCAAAGTTATATTTATAGCCACGCCAAAGAAACAAGGTACCTAATATGAAAGACTAACCAACACTATAAGAACTTAAAATTACTCGATTTTGTATCATTATAACGTTCGATAACTGCTATTTTCCTTATGTTTTTCTATTCTGGCATATTTTAATTTGTCTGTTTTAAATTAATAGGATTTATTCGTTAATACTAGAACTAAAATCCATATATAGAATTATACGAAAAGGTACATATAAAATGTAAAGACTGATATTTCTAAAGCTCAAATTAATGAGGATAATCAACGGCTATATGAAAGACACAAATAAAATCACACATACTAAGACATACAAGACAAAATAAATCCACAATATAATGACACAATGTTAACAAGATTATCCAAGTACTGTTTGTAAAGTAAGCTAACTGTTATAAATACAACCCAAACGGTGTGGACAGGAGTGTGTGTGTGTGTGTGTGTGTGTGTGTGTGTGTGTAATATAACTTCCATACCTTTCTGAGAGAAATTATTATATGATATATAAAATAGCAAAAATTTACCCTGACACTTTAATGATCATTTATATCCAAGTTTTCGTGAAAATTGTTAACCACTACAGCTGTTTAATCTGCAGGCAGCACAAAATCTGGTCAGGGTAAAAAGAGGTAGTTTCCTTGAACGAGGGTCATCAACAGTGTTACTGTTAGTTCTATCATCTGTCTTGCGCATCAGTTGTCCTTCATCAACAGTTGAAATTTAATATCAGCCGAGACAGTTACACGAGTTTACAATGGGCTTTGATGTCAAAGGTACTGGTATTATTAATCTATCAGTACTCGAATGTTTAAACCCTCGTTATGTCATCGTCATTTGTTTGCAATCTTTTCTGAGTCTGAATCTGGAGGTTAATTTAACAAAACAACGTAACAGAGGAATGCATTGACTTTCAAATTATGGAACTGATTGATTATTGAATTTTTATATTAATTATATTAATAATATTATAGTAGTTATTTAGTTTTAAAGAACAGTGTTTGCCCATTACTAAAATGGACGTTAAGGCATTCATCAAATAGGCATCTGAGTGTAAATATTTCACCCATCTGTGTAAACACACGGACCCAAAGATTCTGCGGGTATTCATCATCAAGTAGACGAGGGTGGCTGTTTTGCGCTGCACACTGTTATGTTCTTCCTTGTCAAATACTCCTTTCACTTCTGTCTTGATGTGTATTTGAAACTTATACTCCTCTCTCCAAGGGGTCCGTTCTGGGACAGCATTTAAGGATCTATCAGTTGCAGACAAATCAGTGGTTTGTCTGCAGAGCCATTTGGCCTGGTGGATGAAACTACTTCTCTTTAGTCGTCCCAAAGCTAGATTTTTGAATCTTTTATTCATAGGGTGACTGGGCATACTAAGAAACTTGGCTCTCCTCCGAGCTTCGACCCGATATTATTTCGGCCATAAAATGTCCTTACTGGGCTCAGGCATATGTAAAATGTGGGCTTTCTGCCAAGGAACAAATTGCTGCAAAACTAGGATTATTTGACAATTTCAAGAGATGCAACAGTGTAGACGATAATAGCGACCGTTGACAATTTCAAGCGTTTCTGCAGACGATAACAGCATACCCAAAACGCGATTAAACTCACCGCCGAGAGTATCCCCGCACCGCTACCCGCGGCGCAGCGCGGAGGTGGGGGGCTAAACTAGGTGCCTGGGATGCATGAGCAAATTAATTGGAGGAAGTTGCAGGAGATTCGGTAGCTGCTGCTCGTGTTTCAGCCATCTAGTTTAGCCCCCATCCGCGCCGCGCTTAGCGGCGCGGGGGATATGGTCGGTGGTGAGTCACAGAAACAAGTCCGCAAGTAACATATGGCTGAAACCCTGTTAGAGCATTTGTTTCGTTATATGGAGCCGGCATATTTTTAATAGAACTGAGCTCCGTAAGGATATTTTATGGCCGCCATAATATCGGGTCGAAGTTCGGAGGAGTCAGAAACTTTTCTGCTTGTAAAAGCATCTTGGTGTCTCTGCGTTCACTCAATGCTTGGGTCATCCCCATTTTCTCCATCACAGAGCTATAGGTGTTGATTTCATACTGCCTGTCATAACTCTCGAGTGCTTGATTTTGCACTTTGTCTAATTCTTGCAATGTGGTTTTTGATGCCGAACTCCATGCTGTTGATCCGTATTCAAGATGTGGTCGAACACTTTGTTGGTAAACTTTACTAAATATTTTCTCGCTAGCACCCCATGTGGTTCCACTTAGTTTTCTCAGAACGGCTACCCTTCTGGCTTTGGTTGCTGCCTTGTTGATGTGTTTTCTCCATGTTAACCTATCAATTGTTTAATTCATATTTTAATTTGTTGAGATTAGCTAGTTCATGCTGTAAGCCTATGCAACTAAAGTACTGAAGCAAAAAAATTTAATTACGCATTGTAGTAAATGTGCATGCTTTGTGCAGATTGGCAAGCGTCACTTCAGAGGTCCCGGGTAGTTAGCATCCTTTGGATATTTTCTTTAGGTTATGCCGGTGTGTTGGGAAATGAGCAGCCAGATAGACTGGCTGGCTTTGCACCACTTGGTGGTGAACTGATGTATGACAAGTTAGATATTGTGAGGGCCCTTTGGGAGCAAGTGAACAGTTCGAAGGCATAGATAGATCATTACAGACTAAGGAAAATGGCACTGCGAGGAGTTCTGGCCAACGTTCAGCACTCAAGAGAAGGATTTGTCAGATATACAATCAGACAGTTACTGGTACCATCAGAATTGGAACTCTTCGCTTGCTGCTGAAGATGGGGGACTGAACTAAGCACTTATGTGCTGTGATGTCAATTCTTAATTCATCATTATAGTAAATGTAAAATTAGGCAAGTCAGTTTTTACTGTAGTATGCATCTGACAAGACAGGTGAAATTTATCTATGTAGATCAGAAATGTTGAAAGAAGAAGTGTTTCTTTCTTGATAATTTCACTATCCAGATTGTCAGCTTTGATTTAGAAGATATCAACAAGTTAGCGTTGGGTTCGAGTCATTACAGAACCTGACTTTTTTTTTTTCAAAAATGACATTAGATCCCAGGTCAAACCAGCCTTAAATGGGTATCAAGTCCTGGAAAATAAAGGCAGCTGGGGGGAGGTTGACCACATTACCCATCATGTGCTGATTGTTAGGGGGATGTTGACCACATTACCCATCATGTGCCGATTGGTAGGGGGATATTGATCACATTACCCATCATGTGCCGATTGGTAGGGGGATGTTGATCACATTACCCATCATGTGCTGATTGGTAGGGGGATGTTGACCACATTACCCATCATGTGCTGATTGGTAGGGGGATGTTGACTACATTACCCATCATGTGCTGATTGGTAGGGAGATATTGACCACATTACCCATCATGTGCTGATTGGTAGGGAGATATTGACCACATTACCCATCATGTGCTGATTGGTAGGGAGATATTGACCACATTACCCATCATGTGCCTATTGGTAGGGGGATGTTGACTACATTACCCATCATGTGCTGATTGGTAGGGGGATGTTGATCACATTACCCATCATGTGCTGATTGGTAGGGGGATGTTGACTACATTACCCATCATGTGCTGATTGGTAGGGGGATGTTGATCACATTACCCATCATGTGCTGATTGGTAGGGGGATGTTGACCACATTACCCATCATGTGCTGATTGGTAGGGGGATGTTGATCACATTACCCATCATGTGCCGATTGGTAGGGGGATGTTGTTTGACCACATTACCCATCATGTGCCTGATTGGTAGGGGGATGTTGACCACATTACCCATCATGTGCTGATTGGTAGGGGGATGTTGATCACATTACCCATCATGTGCTGATTGGTAGGGGGATGTTGACCACATTACCCATCATGTGCTGATTGGTAGGGGGATGTTGACCACATTACCCATCATGTGCTGATTGGTAGGGGGATGTTGACCACATTACCCATCATGTGCTGATTGGTAGGGAGATGTTGACCACATTACCCATCATGTGCCGATTGGTAGGGGGATGTTGACCACATTACCCATCATGTGCCGATTGGTCTTTAATATTATGGTCTAACCCTTTACTTTACTTAACAAGTTAGTGTATATTATACAAATGTTTATTATTGAAAAAAATTTATTGTCCATTTAATTCCTGGCAGTTCTTATACATCTTGGGACAGCATGGTAAACTGGGGTAGTACATCGTGTAGCTAAAATGGGCGCCCAGATTATAACTTAGGAGGTTGAATAGGGTGTCTGGGATTTGCCCTGTTGGATTGTGATCCAGGATTGGATTCATTATTCACAAGGGTAATCACACTTTCATGTGGCAGCTCGGAAAGAAAACAGCAAGTCATGGTATGTTTAAAAATGTCTTGAGTTCTGAGCTTGTTCCTAGAAAAATAGTACAGGTACTCACTATAATGTTCCCCTCCCCCCAAAAGGTGTCAGTGTTAACTACAAAGTGTCAATTACAGTAGCATTGGACAAAAAAGACACCCCAATAAAATCAGTGTTGGTATTGTGTACTGCCAAACACAATGTCCTTCATGAGAGGATTCAAACAGCACCACAGAGCTGACAGGACACCATGCTAGTCACTTTGTCAGTGTTACGATGGCTCCCATTGGTTTTCTTATGTGTGGAATTTATGATTAAATAACAAGAAGAAATTTCCTTTATATCTATATTCTTAATCTGAACTTCACAGATAATTCTCTTTCCTTCATCATCATCATCCTGGCATGCCATTATACATTCCATTGTATCCTATGTCATCCTTTCTCTTCTTCTTCTTGAGGCTCACCAGCTGTAAACTCCTGTGGAAAGTTCTGGTTGTTTGTGCATCTCTGGACTTTATCTTTGTTCCAGAACCTGAGTGTTGTGTGTACATCCATTTAACAGATCTAGCTTATTTGTATGCAGACTGTTGTTTCTTTGCCTTTCTGGCAGATGCACTCTGAAGGAACCCCCCACTTAGTCAACGCTTACGACTAGGCTTTTCGGGAGTTAGTGGGTCTATTCTTGTTTTTGCACAATGGGGTCCTGGAACCCACATGGGGAGGCAGCAGTCTTGTGGTTCTTTTGATATCATGGATAGAATTCAGTCCAGCACCTTTGGCCTCTCTCTGCAAAGTTTATTTTTGGGTTTCCCTTGGAATCCTCCTTTCCTCAATCCATCTGTTTCTCATTGCAGTGCCTGTTTTGTCATTCTCTGTCTGCTTCTTCTCATTACGTCACCAATATAGTATCATCTTCTGTGACTGTTAAGTGTTGATTCCAGTTGTTGTCCAGACATTTCTCTTATTTATTTGCCTTTTATGAATTCGTCCTATTTAATGTTTATCAGTTTCCTCAGGCATTTGTTTTTGAATACATTAGTTTGAAATTCCATGTCTCTTTTATTGTTTTTTTCTTTTCAAATCATTAAAAGGTCGAGATCTTGTGACTTACATTCCACTTGTGACTTCTGTTGGTCTTGCTGCATACGTCGTGTGGCAGGCTCTGGGACCCAAGATCGGACTGGTCAACCCGAACATTGAGAAGAATGTCGAGAGAGTGGTAAATACCATGGATATTGAGGACATTGGTGAAAGCATTTCATTCTGTCGTTGCTGGAGGTCTAAGAAGGTAATTCCAGTTGACATTTTATCATCTCTGTGTGGGTTTTGGGGGGGGGGGACAAGAATAGACTCACTGTCCCCTTCACAGGAATGACATAGAATTCAACTAATTAGGTGTTTTTACTTTGAAGTCCGAGCCCATCTGCCTGAAAGACAAGGAACCAGCAGTCTGCATACAAATAAGTCAGATCTGTAAACAAAAATGTGCATACAGAACTCAAGTTCTGAAACAAGACCAAAGTTCAAAAGTGGATGAACAACCAGAAGTTTACAGTCGGTGAACACTTAAGTCATTTTGTCAGCACTAGCATGTTTTGTCATTTTTTTTGTCAAGATGAGAAAGAGAATTCTGAAAAGCTGTATAAATCCTATCTTGATAAATGGAATTTAATCATGGACTATTGATAAATTAGTAAAAAAAAAAAAAAAACATTCAGTTGGCTTTATATATGAATGATGAGAATACCCTGAACAGATAAAAAAAAAGTAATGAGGATGTAGGATGTCTTGAAAGAAACTGACTCACAAAGAGAACTGATTTCCCACTTCAGAAAGAGACAATCTACCTTCATTGGTTATATGATGAGGAGAAAACTGGAGTACATCCTGACAGTAGGAAACTTGGAGAGGAGAGGCAGAGGGAGACCGAGAGAAAAGATGCTGGACAGTTTGACAACATGGCATGGAGGGTCATCTGTGTCAGAATTGATTGAAACTACACGAGACAGAAGGTTGTGGATAGACATGACTACCAAAGCCACACAACATGGACTTTAAGAAGAAGAAAGAGAAGAAGCACATGTTTGTTCATGCTTGCTTTAAAACTAAAACATGCATTATCTTTTTTATTAGACTGCTCATTTAGTGTACCACTAGGGTTGTCCTCACAATTTTCCTCAGTAAAACTAAGAAAATAAAGGACTCTTTTCTCATTTTTGTCACTTCAGACACATAATAGGTTAGGTATGTGCTTTGCTGAAAAATTAAAAGTTGTTACATTCAACTAGTATACCCAAAGGTGTTTAGGTTATAATCATGACTAGGTTATGTGCAAAAAAGGTGAAGACAGGAGTGCCTTGGGCAGAGTGGCAAGCTTTACTTGCAAGGTCACGGGTAGTGAGCATACTTGAGATCTTTTCTCCAGGTCATACCGGCATGGTGGGGAATGAACAAGCAGACAGACTGGTTGGATCTGCACCGCTGGGTGGTGAATTGATGCATGACAAAGCAGATGTGGTCAAGAGCCCTTTGGAAACAAGTGATGAAGTCAGAAAAGAAATAAATTAGTATGGGCTGGAGAATATGATGCACTTGGGTGTGACCAGAAAGGGGGGGGGGGGGTTACCCAGCACACTACGCTCAGAGGAAAGGCAAGATGGATATACAACCAGACTACAACTGGCACCATTAGTATTGGAACTCTGTGCTGGCTGCTGAGGATGGGGACGGAGCGCATATGGAAATGCCCCGAGTGCTGTGGTGTCAGTTCTTAACTCAGCTCATCTTAAACAATATAACTAGAACAGCTTTAAACTGGAACCCATAACGTTGTAAAAATAAAGGCAGGCCAAAAACACATGGAGAAGGGAACTAGAGAGTGACATTAAAAACATAAGAGAAGACTGGGGTGAGCTGCATATGATAGCCCAGGATAGGATGATTTGGCTTTAGTTGGTTGAGGGCCTATGCAATAAAAAGGCAGAAGAAGAAGGGGGTTATCACTGGAGCTATGGAGTTTTTGCTACATTTTTGGCAAGGGGCCATCCATTCTGTCAAGAAGGATCAAGCTGTATGGCAGAGCTATTCAACTAAGTTTACTCAGGGCCAACATTTTGAAAATTAGGATTGTCTCGGGCCAGAGGTCGGAGCCCCAGCATAGAAATGTCAATAATACAGTACTACTGGCATTGAACCACGGGTCTCCAGTTGAATGTTGTAATCTTATTGTCCAAAGAGTTAAAGTTTCTTCTAGTTTCTTCTAGTGGTCACAGCGCAGGTGAAAGGTTCACACAGCGGCCACGGGTCGGGTCGTTACCTGGGATACCAGCTAATTGAATGCTGGGCGATTAACACAAAGGCTCCTGCAGAACACAAAGGATTCGGCAGTCAAGATATTTTCCTTGTCCAAATAGGACGTTCCTTCTTTGTGAAGTTTTTATTTAACCGTACTTACACGGGAGACAGTTTAATGTCTATTTTATTTTTTTATTATAATAGCAGGAGTCCATTTGAGAAAAGAGTGTAATTCTTTTATATTCTCAGAGTAGCTAATAGAGAGTTATTATCGTACGTTTTTTTTCATTAAATAATCATCATCATCTTGTGACGTGTAACTTTAATGCCATTAAAGTTTATGTGGCCTGTCACAAGCGTTATTGTTGACTCGTAAAGATAACAACTGTGTTAGATGATGCTGTGCCAGTTATAGTATGCAGGACTACATCGTAGCACATCCATCAAGGAGATATCCAGCGGAGTTCTAGAATAGGCACCCTAGGCCTAAATACTTGGTTGCTGATACAAAGGAGTATCAGTGCGTAAACATACGTGTTGAATATAAGTGTACAACAAATTAAGTGTACAACATTGAATAGCCCTGGCTTATGGGTAAAACTCAATGCAGTGATGTTTATCCACTTGACTTTGATCTTTAAACTATTAGCAAAACTGTCAGGTCTGGTAACTCCTTCATAACATGTCTCTCATCCTGCTTAAGGCCATTGTCCCACTCGTGACATCAAAATCAGCAGATACGCCAAGATATGCTACGGTTATTTGTCATATTCAACATCACTGTATTTGACCATTCCCATGAAGGCTCTGTGCTACAATCCTACAGCAACTCCATTAAACATCTGTTGACTCCTGTGAGAAATTGATTATGATGTCTCCCATCTTGCCTTGAAAAGGACATATATGTGCTTGAACAAGCTTCATTCTTAAGTCTCTTAATCGGGTTACTATAAGAGATTCACCTTATCCACTAGCCTATAATATACAGCATTGACTGTACCAGTCCTGCCTCTGCTTCTTCCCACTTTACTGCCAGTTGGCCCTCTTCAACCTTTACCTAGGACATGTTATCGTACATGGTGGTATAGAATTAATATTCCTAATCATGGATTTCTGCATTGACTTTAAACATTGTTGGAAAGGAAGAAATGCAAAGTTAGACAAGATGCACGTTGGAAAGTTTGGCCTCATGGCATGAAAGAACAACTATATAAGAAAAGATTGATAGTACACGAGACAGAATGTTGTGAACCGACATACTTTTAACACCATGCATTGTAGACTGTCTTCTTCTTCTTCACATTCCCTGGCGGTAAACTCCAGCGGAAAGCTCTGGATGTTCGTCCACCTCAGACTTTTGTCTTGTTCCAGAACCTGAGTGCTGCATGCACATTCGTTTAGCAGATCTGGCTTATTTGTATGCATACTTGTGGTTCCTTGCCTCTCAGGCAGATGTACTTTGACTTTGAAGGATGTCCCCAAATAGTCAACTCCTTCGACATGTTTGTTGAGGCAGTGAGTCTATTCTTGTTTTCCCCATGATGGGTCCCCAGAACCCACATGGGGAATTGTAGACTATAAGAAGAAAGGCCTTTGTTTTATTTACTGGGCCCCCATGGGAAGCCAAGGATAGTAACACTGCACCCTACCAAGCATGTCATAAGAGGTGACTAAGGTTAGGGTTGGGCTTGTGGTTGGTTACATCATCCTATAAAAAACAAGTCACAGAAACCAAACAACCATGTGAAAAGCAGTATCTTTTTCTTTCTCATTGTAGTGTGTACAAGAAGTTCTCAAATTACATATGCTGAACATTAACAGTACCACTTGTCTGCCTATTTCAGTTTCCTCTGTGCGATGGATCCCACAACACCCACAACAAAAAGACTGGAGACAATGTTGGACCCATGTGCCTTAAGAGGAACAAATAAGTGTCTAATAGATAGACAGTTACATCAGGCATGGATTTTGATATTATAGTCTGATCTTGTGAGATGTAATATTTGTTGGTGTAGAAGAATTACACATTTGATTCAACTAATTTGTTTAATTTAAAATTGTTAACTTGTCTTTCGTTAGCTACTCATTTCTGAATGTTTCATCATCTTTACTTGTTGTTGTTCTTTGTAACACGGAACAGTAATAATTGTCTTTTGCTTATGGTTGTTGGGACTGCTTTTTGTAACCATCTTCAAAATTTCTCTCCTCCACAGTTTGTGTGTGTTATTATTGGTATATTTTTCTCTTTAATCTTTCCGCCCACTTATTCTTGTAGATTCTTTTTTTTTTTTTTTAAATATCAAGTCATATCCATCTTTCCTTTAAGGATGTATTTGAGTGTTTATAACACAGACACAAAAATAAACAGGTTAAATTAGTTATCACTGGGTGATCGATATTATGAATATGTTATGAGCTAGTCACAAAATATCTAGTGTGATCAAATATAGCCATAATGTAGATAGATGAGCATGTGTGATATTTAACAAGATACAGTAAATCTACTTTTAGCATTTAGTTATTGGATTGTAGCAGCATACTCACCTACCAACCCTGTAGTTTGTGTTTGAATCACCCTTCATGGCAGGTGTTTTTATTTCTATTGATTTTGACTTCCAGGACAGAGTCACCTAAAATGGACGGTGGGGACATTTTTCAGCGAACTAAAGGTGGCCAGATGGATATTGACTACATCTCATGGGTGATGGTGGGTCTTAATATATGGGGATAGCACCATATACCCACCATACTTCACTGCATGAAAGGGGGTCCTTTACTTGTTAAATTTATTTATTGGCGACAGTATCTATACATTTCAGTCCTTTTATATGATACTTCTGTGTATCAAGGTAGGATTTATTTAGCTCTTCAGAATTCTTTAGATATTCTTCTGCGTTTGCCTTTGAAAGCTTCGTTGGTAAATTGTGTTTAGGTTTACAGCTAGGCTGTGGTATCTGCACCTTTTGCCCAAATGCTTCCAATTTCAACCAGTCCCTAATTGATCACCTTTTACTACATGCTTATCAAGAAGTATGTGCCCCCACCCCTTTAAGGCGGCCCATAACCCACTTGAATTACTTATATAATTAATAATTAAGTGACTGTTTTACACATCCTGGTGTTGATATTATGCCAACTATGCACTGTTTAAAACAAATCTTTTTTTTTTAGTCGGAATTGTTAGCTTTGATATTTGTTTACACACATATGGATATACACCTTTGCTATGTGGTCAGATTTTACCCATGTACAGAAGTGTAGTGCCCTGGATGTATACAAGTATTGCTTGTTTAGTCAAATTAAACTTTTTTTGTAGAGAATTGTGGTAGTTTTTTTTTGTGTGAATGCATAGTGTGTGTGTGTGTGTGTCTCTCTCTCTCTCTCTCAACTCCAGCAGGAAATTCTGATTTTTCAGAATTTGAATTTTTTTTTTTTTTGCACATCCGTTTTACAGATCTGGCTTACTAATATGCAAACTGGTGGTTCCTGACTGCTCAGGCAGATGTGCTCTGACTTTGGAGAGGGAAAACATCCTTAGTCACCTTTTACGACATGCTGTTAGGGAGGCAATGGGTCTATTAATTTTCCTCTAAAAATCAGGCCCTGGACCATAACACAGTGATTACATTCACCCACAAGCAGAATTGGAAAAGTAAAAGACCTTTTCATGCTTGTGTTGCTTCAGATATATGGTGCTAAAACAAAGTTATTATGGCCTGGAGAGAATGAGGCAACAGGGTGTAACCAGAGGGTCTGGCCGACTAACAGGAAAGGCAAGACGAAGACATAACCAGATTGTAACCATTACCATCCGTATTGGAACTCTGCGCTGGCTGCTGAAGATGGGGACGGAGCAAACATAGGAATGCCCCAAGTGCTGTGATGTCTATTCTTGACTTGACTCACATATGGTGCTAGGTTTAAACTCATTATAGACCAACTGACACTAGGTGAGGAATGTGGTCAACATACTGCCAAGCACCTTTCCAGAATATTTCCTAGCATCTCTTTTTTAGGCTGGGTCAACCTGGAAATCCACCCTCTGTATAGTCGACAGAAAAGGAGATATGAGGGATATCATTAGTTTCAAGGATATCACTGGTGTGAGGAATGTCACTGGTGTGAGGGGAATGTCCCTGGTGTAAGGTATATCACTGGTGTAAGGTATATCACTGGTGTGAGGGATGTCCCTGGTGTGAGGGATGTCCCTGGTGTAAGGTATATCACTGGTGTAAGGGATATCCCTGGTGTGAGGGATATCACTGGTGTAAGGTATATCACTGGTGTGAGGGATGTCAATGGTGTGAGGGATGTCCCTGGTGTAAGGTATATCACTGGTGTGAGGGATGTCCCTGGTGTAAGGTATATCACTGGTGTGAGGGATGTCACTGGTGTAAGGTATATCACTGGTGTGAGGGATGTCACTGGTGTGAGGTATATCACTGGTGTGAGGGATGTCACTGGTGTGAGGGATGTCACTGGTGTGAGGGATATCATTAGTCTAAGGGATATCACTGGTGTGAGGGATATCATTAGTCTAAGGGATATCACTGGTGTGTAAGGATTGTTATTGATGGCATGAGAAAACTTGAACAGTGTCAACAGTGAGCTTTTCCAAACAGGACCTTGTTTTATTTTTATTTATTTTTTAATTTTCAGGGCAGAAGTTTAGGGATATAATAAGCACAGTTCAAAGACTGAGCATTGAGAAAATATCGAGTTAGTATTATATTTCCAGTATACCTCATGGTGTGGAAATGAGGCCCTTCTTATTATTTATTTTTTTTTTATATACAACTTAAACCTAAGACTGAGACTAGAATAACATGAAGTTAACCGAAATGGAATTTCCAATACTTGTTTCCAAAAACTGCTTATCGAACTCTGTACAGACAGATTGACCGGATCTGCATCACTGGGTGGTGAATTGATACATGACAAGGCAGATGTGGTCAAGGCGCTTTGGAGACAAGCAACGGAATGAGTAGAGAAAGATTATGGCCTGGAGAGAATGAGGCACCTGGGTGTAACCAAAGGGTCTGGCCGGCTGACTACACTCAGAGAAAAGGCAAGACGGGCATATAACCAGATTGTGACCAGTACCATCAGTAATGGAACTCAGCGCTGGCTGCTGAAGATGGGGACGGACGAGCATGGGAATGCCCCCAGTACTGTGATGTCAATTCTTAACTCAACCCAACTCTGGATGTTATCTTCCCACGCGCTAGCCAGTTTTCTTATTTTTTTCTTTCCATTTTTCAGTTATGTGAACCCCAGTGGTGTATCAGCTAGACTTTCACCTAAGATCCAAAGGTTGTGGGATTACAACCGCATCAAGCTGGATTTTTAAAAAATGACCTTGGCTCCTAGGTCGACCAAGCCTAAAATGGGTACCAGGAAAGTAAAGGTGGCCAGCTTCACCCATCAAGTGCTGACTGGTTTATAAAATATAGGTCTAGCCCTTTATATACCCAATATGCCTAAAGGTGTGGAATAGGGTCCTTTACTTTTACAATATACCCAAATGGCCTAAGGGTGTGGAAAGAGGTCGTTTAACTTTACTTTCTTTAAAGTTACCACTAATACTAATTGATATGTTCATCTTTTGAGATAAACTTAGGACTTAGCTGCTTTGTCACACTACTGTTGCGCTCTGATTTGGGTAAAGTGTGATAGTGTGTAAAGGGACAGTGGTATGCCAGAACTTTCTGTAAGTTCACAGGGGGAATAGTGTCAACATGGTTGGAGTATTGAGAGGAGACCAGTGAAAATGTCTATTCATGAACAAGGCGTGCATGCACGAGAGAAAGTGGACGCGTGGGTTACTGGGGGGGGGGGCTGAAAGCATGGCTAACGAGATAAACAGAGAAAGTGTGAATTAAGTGACAGCGTGATTCTCACCTAACATCAGCCACCCACATAAGTGTGATCCTCGAGAACGTCCACATGAGCGTGAGTCCCGAGAACACCCACAGGATTATGAGTCAGGAGAACGCTCATACAAGCGTGCCTCTCGTGTAGACATCATCCACCTACACGGATTTGAGGGGGATAAATTGGAGGGCTGAGTAGCCACTCGGGGGCAATCGAGAAGCAGTCGAGAGAGAGAGAGAAATCGAGAGTCAGAGACCAAGTCAGGGTCCTTGATATCTATCGCGAGTCTACCAGACAAGAATACCGTGACTATCGGACATTTAGGTCTGAGTGAGTGTCGAGGTTGCGGTACTGAACGAAGATATGGTCCCGCTGGCACAGTAAGTCCAGGGGACGGAAGTCTCCAATAGTACCTGTTCTGGGTGGCGACGTAGTGAAACGTAGGAGGACCACTACTGAAACAGAACAGGGGGGAGTGGTACCGACGAGAGCTGTGTGCCAGAGGGGACTTATGGTAGAAGTCCTGTCGGTCATCGGAGCCCTACGACAAGCTGACGACAGCTGTGTGTTTTCGGAGTACGGCCAGGAAAGTCCGTCTCCAGTCAGCCGTGTTATATGCTGAAATAATATCAAGGTCCAGGGAATGGGAGAATTCGTCCTGTTCAGCTGTACGGCGCGTCCAGAATGTGGGACGCTGTAGTCCTTGGAGCTGTAGTAGTCAAGGAGTGGTCGCTACAAATTGAAAGAGAGAGAGAGCGAGTGAGGACAAATGGACAATGTGTGAATGTCAACTGTGATAAAAAAACTAGGTCTCTGCATTTGTGTCATGTATCCTGTTAAATAAAAATGTATGACGGTGTCATCATCGTCGAGTTCTATTTCTAAGAGAGGAAGCTGAAGGGTACCTGCTAGACACTTGGTAGTGTGCTGACTAATGGTAACTCATTTAGCACACAACAACTACATTGTTTGAAGTCCTTATAATCATTATTTACTTTGCTAATAAACATAGGCAGTCATTGTTGCGTCTCTCTCTCTCTCTTGTACACCACCAAGA